TCAGGCATCTTTCAGAGAGTTTTCTGATGGCCATTTTTAGGAGGAAGTAGTGCATGAGAATTGTAGCAGAGTGTGCTGGACAAACACTTCAGAACAAGAGTTGGTGATTTTTCTGGGTGGTAGCTCTGTTACAAAGCTAAGTCATGTGGAAGGTGGTGTGAGGGTGGCTTGCCGGCTTTTTCGTCCAAGGAAAGCAGTCATTGAGGTCACTTGGATCTCATGGGCTCCAGATTTCTTTCAGCTAACATAAGGGAGGGAAATAAGATGACGGGAAAGGCGATTTAGACAGGAGAGCCAGGATGAATTGCTGGAATATGTACTTTTATGCCTTTGTGGATACTTCAGACTTTCATGTGCTATGTGTTTTCTGTTACCTAAAATCCAAATTTATCACAGTTGTTTTGCAGGAGTGTGTTTTATGATGATTCCGAGATCGCTGGTCCGACATGAATATACTTTTGTTGGACCAGGCACAAAGGGGTGGCTGGGGTGGTCCTGCTGTTTTTATGTTCCCTGCCAAAGGGGCTCATTTTGTGCAGCTGCAGCCCTTGGACACTGCTGAGCAAAGGCTGTGCTTGGGATGGGTGAGACATGGGGTGAGAAAGCGTGGGGAGCTGTGTAAGTGGCCATGTCTCAAAGAACCGGTTGTTGTGCAGACAGGTTGATGCTGGGAGTTCAAAAGGCCTGGATAAAGCCCTCTGGGGAATCTGAGCAGGTGTGCATGAGCCAGGAGCTTGGAGGAGAAAGAAGCTGCTGATCTGGGAAAAGGTGGAGCTTAGGGAAGGATGACGGTGGGATAAACTCTGCTTTCCCTGTGGGAGGATAACCAGTGGTGCCTCTCAGGTGGCAGTCTGAGAGGAACAGGGCGGGAGGACAGGTTCTGGTGTGCCCTCTTAAACAAGGGTGAGGTAAATGCAGGCAGAAACAAGAGGCCAAGGGCAGGACTCTTAAATGATGTTCATCAGGGTGGGAGGTGAGCCAGGAAAAACTTCTGGGACGTCAAGGAGATGCCTTGAGCCTATTTATTTTCCTTCTGTTTACTTCACACTATCAGCAGTTGTAGGTGTTTGGCATCTTCAAACTGGGAGGATGGAAATGGAATGTGTTGCTGGGGGTTGTTTTCCGGGGATCAGAAGGGCACTTGTGATTAATGAGAGCGCCAGCTCTGATAAGGAAATGTGTGCTAGAAAATGGCTCTACAGCCAAACTTGGCTGAGCAACAACTAAAACAAAAATGCTCTAAAACCTGCCTTTTTAAATCAGGAAAGGTGTGGTAGGGTTGGGACAATGGGAAGTCTGGTACTTAATTAACAGCTAAATCCTGCTGCCATTGAAGTCGGAGAAACTCAGCTTGACCCCAGCTGCTGCAATGTGCCATGTGTGGGCTCTCCGGAGATGGGACATAATTTTGGATGAACACCACAGCTAATGCGGGGAAGATATGTCAGTTTATTTTTAGTTTTAGCTCTTCAAATGCTTTTAATAACATGCCCGTGTTACTTGTGTGCATGTTAATAAGGATTAATTCACATTTGAATTTTGTTTCTTATGGAAATTTTTTTCTGGGAGACATTCCTTTGAGGCTAACTTTTAATAATGGGTAACTGGGGGAGAACTAATCTTGTTTTCTGTTTTGTTACAGAAGTCAGAGTGTGTGATTGAAATTTATGATTTACAACTCCCCCTATTTGAAGCTTTTGAATCTGTATTTTCTTGTAATAGTTTTGGTGATTTTAAAGTAAAAGCATGCGGATAGTTTTTTATAGTTCAATTATATGTGAATTCATCTGAGAATTTTTGGCTTCTGTGCGAGTTACTTTGATATTGCGTGGATGTGGCATCTTCAAAAGGTGCTGTTTTGTATAAAGCTTTTACACAATAGAAAATGGGGGAAAAAAAAATCTTGTTGTACTGCCCTAGGAATGAATATGAGAACAACCCCAGCCCTCTCTGCTGGTTTGCACTTTGGCTGGAGCACACCAGTTTCCAGCCTGTGATCTGTCTGAAGCTTGGTTTATTGTTTAGGAAACTGTAAAAGATAACTTGAAGGAAGTGAAGCTATCGCCTGTGGGGTTACATTTGCTCTGTAGAGAAACATCCTTAGTAGAAAGTATGTAGAGCACTGTACACTTCAGAGGGCTGAAAACTATTGCACGTGAATTAGGTGGGATGTCCTTTTTGGCAGATGATAAAAAAGCTTCTGCATTTTACTGTGGTGTATGCAATATCTGTAACAAAAACTAAATTGTTGGTCAGAATTCTTAGTTCTGATTTTCTTCCTTTATTTGATTTGAAGACCTTAAATCAGGTTAAACCCTAATGCTCTTGCAGAAGAAATATTTTATTCATAGAAAATAATTGGTTTCAGTGCAGGAGGAACTGCTTGGGATTTCATATACTGTAGTACATGGAATATCAGATTAACTGACCTAATGAGCCCCTTCTGCCTCTAAAAATCTGTTATTGGTGCAAATAATGTAGGATAAAGAGATCATAGTCTTTGCTGCCTGAGTTCTTTAAAATAATGTAGCTTGATGCAAGACAGATGATGCTGTTTTCAGTCATTTTTTTTCTTCTCTTGTCCTTGCTGTTTCCTTTGCCCTTCCTAGATCAGTGGTGTGAGAAGGATGTTCCCTCTGCTTCCAGACAATGCTTGTTTTGACATCCTGTATTCTGCTCTTGGTTCTTTTGGAGGAAATTTGCAATCTCATTTGACTTGAATAGGATCATTATAGGTGCCAGTGTCTGGGCAGAGCAGCCGACTAACCTACGCTACAAGCTGCATTGTGATGTGGAATTAAGGCTTCAGTCACGAAGGGGTGTCCTTGTGCAGAAGGTTATTGGCTTGGTTTGATGCTGAATGATCACTCGAGGGTTGTGTCACTGTATTTGAGAGGGTTACCATTCTGTAGCAAATAGAAGAGCTGAGAATGAGGTGTTTGGAAAAGCTGATCAGCAGGAACTTGGTTGTCCCAGGACTTGTAGTAGTGTCCACATTCTTGCAGTGACTCGAGGTGTGTCCTTCTCCTTTGAGGCTTGAGACTTGGCAGGGAGGGAGATGGGGATTGAACTCAGGTAAGGCTGGAAGGGGTGCTGTGCCACAAGATGTTTTCTTTCTTGCTGGTTCAGTGTGCGTGGATGACATGCTTGAGCTGCATATGGATACTGTTTTCATCTTTGTGCCTGTTTTGAATCTCTGCTGTTCGGTGCTCATTTTTTGAACAGTTGCATACCTGTGAGATGGATCTTATATTTTTCCTTTTATCTAGCATCAAAAGATTAAAAGGAAACTTGAAAAGAAGTGTTCGCTCTTCATTTGACTTGCACAGCTAATTTTCTCCTTAATGCAGTGAGTTTCAACTTGCTGCTGAAAGCAAGTTTGTGCACATGCACCAGGACTCTGCCAGGGGACAGTCGCAGGGAGATAAATGTTCTGTTCCAGGGAGCTGTAGATTTCCTATTTCCTGATCCTCTTTTGTTGGCAACAGGCAATAAGTGATCTGTCTGCACTGTGGACAGGTGAGCCTTCCACTTCAGCCTTTATGCAGTTTTCTAGACCTGGTTGGTCTCGGGCTGGTGGTGGCCCATGCCTTGGGTAGTGTTGCCTTTCAATAGGGACCCTGTTTGTCCAGAGTATTTAGGTTGGATCATTTAACAGACTCCAGTACAGATAATGCCTGATGGCTAAATCTTTCACTAGAACTAATCCGTGTATAAAACTTCTTATAAGTCCTGCTTGTTAGGAGGAACCTCCTGCTTCTCCCCTGATCTTGCAAGATTTGATTTAGAAATTTTTAGTGCATTTTTTTTTGCTACTTATAGTGTAAATAGTTGGTTTGGAGATTCACTACTCTTCTGATTGGCATAGTTAATGATACACATATCCTGAAAGTCTTTGATGATGGATCAAAAGAAAATAAAATGATTTTGGAAGGATGAGATTAATGTCACTTTTTAAATTCTGTAGTGTGTTTCATCTAGAAGGATCTGGAATTACTTTTCAGACCAACAAAATGGTTAAACCCATCATTGAAGCCTGCTGCTCTTACCTGGCTGAACAATTGACTTGGCACAAATGTGTTGCTTTCTCTCAGGGGCATTGGATTGGTTTAAGTATTGATGTTCAGTGTTCTTTAGTCACCAGGCATTTAGGCAGAGATTGTGTTTAGTTCCTAGTTCACAGATGAAGTATCAAGGCAATAGTACAGGGAAAATTTGGCAATGGGCTAGTGAATTTTAGTGTGCTTTGAGCTCTGAACTAGTGTGTGGAGCTGGTCTGGAAGCTCATCTCCCAGCACACTGAACAGAGCTTCCACAGCAGGAATGGGAGAACAGCTTTCCTTGGTGACAGCTCTCAGCTCATGGCTGTGCCCAGCGTGGGCCCTGCTGAGCCCCACTGTGCTGTGTCCCTGTTTCAGCTAGGTTGGTCCTGATGGCCACGTGTCCCTGTGGCAGGCAGGTGCCATGAACCGAGGGGAGCCAGGTTGCTGCCTGATAGCCTCCATTTACAGGCAAGAGCCTGTTCTGATTCTTGCTGGTAACTTTTGCTGAAATATACAATGTTCTCCAAACTGTGTTAGTGGTTCAGTTAAAAAAATTTCTTCAATGTAAAGCAAACAACCCAAGGCTAGACAGGAAGTAAGACTATTCGTCTCTCTTGACTTTACTCCTCTGTCTTCTGACTTACCTTTTTACATTTTCTTTCCCGCTCCATATTTCTGGAGCTACAAAAATAGGACCTTGTGGGCCTTGGATTGAAAGTGGTGCAGAATAGTTGCAGTGCATCCTGCCTCCCTTCTGCCCTCTGAGTGGAAAAGAAACTGCCCTGAAGATATAACCATACTTACTGAAACAGTGGTTAAGGTTCTTTCTCTCTCCTGATTCATGTGGAGGAGCTGTTCCTCCTCCCGTCTCTGCTGCACCAGCAGTTGCATTAGGTGACTTGGCACCTGGGGCACGTTGCTGCTCTGCCCTCCACAGCTCTGGCAGTCTGAAGCTTTTGCTTGCTAGGCTGGTTTAGAGCTTCCTTGGGCTGCTCTGGTGTGACTGAGCACAAGGGACTGGTGTGCAGAGTTGCCACCTCCGTTTGGAGGGGAAGGTACAGAACCAGTGTTAGGAAAACCAGACGTGGTGGGAGGGAGCCCTCCTCTGTCTGTGTGACTGAAATAGGCTGGCAGGCAAGGTGACTCTATCATGGAGAGGAAATCCCTGGTTACTTTTCACGCTCATAATTTTCTGCCTTATGTTTCTATGAAGCTGTAAGTCACTCCTCAAAGTATGGAGGCTGCTCCACAAATTCCTGTTGAGAAGGATTCCTCATTGTGTGGAAGAGAGGCTAGATGGGTTGCTTGCTAACCTTGGCCCTTTAGGTATAAAAACGTGATTAAACTACTGCAGGTGGATTTTGTGTGTGTCAGAAGGTTATAATTACAAGTTAGAGACCATCTGTCTGGGTTGCTGAACTGTGAACAACCGAGTGGGAACTGGGTTTCTGCTGGTGTAAAGGTTTGCTGGGAAAGCAGGTGCCCTTGCAGGGATTAGCTCCAGGGGATAAGGTGTCTTCCCTCTTGCTTGTATATGCAGGTGCTCTGGCTAACGCCACATGCAGATGCTTCTCGTTCCAGATTGATGATGCCTTCTTCCCCCAGGTCCCAAGGAGGTTGTTTAAAGGAGGGAGAAGTGTATTGACAGGATCCAGTTGCTGGATCTGGTCTGTTTGCCCAGTTCCTAAAACCGCCACAGTGAATTCACTCTGGAGCCATGGGAAGGGCTTAGTTGCTGCTGAGCTGGCAGCCTGAGCAGCAGGTAATTGCAATTGTGCCTCCAGTATTTTGGGCTCTTGGAAAATGACTAGAGGGCAGAGCCTTGCCCTTCTCCCCTTCCTGAGCATATTGCGCGCTCTAGATTTGAAAAAAGGCAAGTTCTCTTGCAGATCCTTGTAAGGCAACCATTACTGCTCCCAGTCTGGCCTGTGAAGGAGCTGTGTGGATTTTATTTCATGTGAACAAGAGGAGAGTGATAGTGAAGAGGGGTTAATAGCGAAGAGCCTGCTATTGACTCAGGTTGTACAAACTTTTCTCCTTCCACTGGTTGCTGTGGCAGTAAAAGAGAGGTGGTAGTGACAAAATCCAGGGTTGCAAACCACAGATCTGTACCACAACCAAGCTCTTGTGCGTAGGTAGTCAGAATAGCAGTCCAGTGTGTTTGCAGGGTGGCTCATGAGACGATGCTTTAGATACCTTGCTGACACCAGCAGAGTTTTTGGGCTTGTTTCTGTCCTGCTTATGGTGTTTGCAGGCAGAAAGATGCACCCCTGCCTGTAGGAGGTAGTGCTCTGCATTAAAGGCTGCAAGAGGGGACACAGTTGCAGCAGCAGCGCAGAGTGTCCCTCTTGGAAGTTTGTTGCCCAGTTAGTTCATCTGTGTTCAGAGGAAAGCTTGGTAGAAAACCTGTTGAAGAGTTCAGAGGCTGCATATGAATTTTTAGGAAACCCTAACTGCAAGCTAGACTGTATTTTTTCCCTGTGATTTTAAGATGAGTAGGCATTGCAGTAATGTGATAAGAGTGCTACAGGTTAATGTGTATGACTAGCCTGTGGGAACTAATGTGTTTTGGTGGTCTCTACCTTTATGGTATTTAGGCTATCCATAGAAGGAAAAATCTCCTGGGAGAAGGTTTTCAAATAAAGTTTCTATTTCCAGGTAACCTGGGCTATTTAATATCCTCTCTTGTACGAGGAGCAGTGAGTGTTTGCAAGGCCTGGGAGCACAAGTTGTGAACGTCAGTCACAGCTTGAGTCCTCAGAGGTGCAGGGCTGGTGCTTAGTGCAGGAACCAGGCTGTTAGGAACTCGGGTTCAGCTACCAGCTCTGCCACTGACTGACAGGATGCAGTGTCCAAGTATATGATTTTCCCTTCTCCTGAGTCACTTTTCTGTTCTTTTGGGAAAATATTTTGCTTATTAATTTGAGGATACTGGCTGTGTATGCCCATTGTAAGGATGTGGAAATGGGGGCTGGTGTCAAGACCTCTGTAGTGGGGGAAGGATGTCTAATTTAAGATCATCTTGTTTCATGCCCCTTCCAGAACCAACAGCTAAGGACGATATGAATACATTGTAGCACAGACCTCACCCTGGGCTTTCATTCAGGAGTGGATCTTAACTACATGGGGGAAGACACTTCCCATATCCGAAGGTTTGGGAAATTGTGCAAATTTCTCTTTTGACACACTTTCATACAATTTAAATTTGTCCCTAATGAGCAAAAATACTACAAGCATAAAGTGAATTTTATATGGATTTGAGTGGCCTGGGGACTTTTTTACAAGGTCTATCTCAGTGTGACATAAATCCATTTGATTTAATTGGGAAAGTGTTGGTCTAGGTGTTATTTGGGCTTTAGTAGCAGGTCTCCTATGGCAATGCAGCACAACTGAGTCACACTGAGAGGGAAGCCAAGGCAGGGTATGCTGAATATGCTAACGTTATTTCCCTTTCATGCAGGGTCCAGCATGTGTGGTTTGTGAAGTTAGGTGTGTGGGTGATTAGAAAGTGGTTCTGAATAGCCAAAAGTTTGTAAAGACTGATTGTTTGCCTTATAATGAATGTCTCAAGTGTGAGGAGTTTTATGGGTCTTGGAGCATCTCAGCCTCATAGAACCCAAATGTCTCCTTGCATCTTGCTTGCAGCAAGGAGAAAGCTCTTTGTGTTCTGAGTGAGTGCTTTCCTAACTTGTTATTCCAATAAATCTCATTAGATACCTGCTCTAGACTTGTCAAAGCTGGGCCCAAAGTAAGTTTTGTTGAGAAGAAAATTCTATTTATGCCTCTGTTTAATGGGGTCATTGGGGTAGAATTAGCTAAAGATCCTTCAGGGAAAGAAAGGATGGATGTGGTTTGAGTTTCAGATGTGGAAGAGAAAGTCTGAGGTTCCCCCATAGCCTTTATATACATCATGCTTGGACGTTAATCTTGATTTTAAGTTTTGTTAACCAAGGTGTCAACCTTACCCTGGGGAGTAACTTCTGTTAGCCAGGGCAATGTGTTTGTAGATTGCCAGTAAGAGTCTATCACTGTGCCTGTCATGGTTCATAAAAGATGCTTACTAACTAATAACTTACGTTACTGATAACGTATTTCTAATGGCAAGGAGGAAATTTTGAGGCTTTATAGGTATTGTAATGTAAAGGACTTCAGGAGTGAAATCCAGTTTACTGTTTGTTCACAGAAGACAAACGAAAGTACCTGACTGTATTCTGTCAGACCTGTGCTTAAAATACACCCTTTGAAGATTTCACAGCCTCCTGAATTTGTCTGTTCCAGTGCCACTCTGCTCTTCATGTTTAATTTCCTTTCTAGCTAATCTAAGAGGATTTCTCTTTATCCTTCTCCTGGAGGATATGGGAAAAGTCGATCACCACTCTTGCTCAAGTCCCTGCTAGCAAAATCTCTTCAGTGTGATTTCTACTACAATTGTTTACCTCTACCAAATGAGGCTGGTAGTTTGTGCCTTGTTCTGCACTGTGTTGGCAGACCTTTGTGCTGAGGCATCCTCTAATTGCTAATAGATCTGGTGGGATTCTGGGATGAGAGCACACTGCCCTTTTCATCCCAGAAAGGTGATAAGTAATTGACGGGTAGAGAAAAAACAAAACCTCACTGGCCTGTAGGTTAATCTGCTCAGAGGCAGAGGCCTTGCTTCTGCCTCCTTTTCACTGAGGGATTATGTGGCCTTGGAGGTCTAAGAAATAATCTTCATTATTTAATGAATACCTAAGGAAATCTTTAGCCATTTTATGGTAGCTGCTCTGGTTTCCAGCTCCAGTTTTGTAGCAGTGTCATTAATAAAGAGGTGGGGGGAGATGTGGGATGAAGCTTTAAAGGCATTGTCGTGGGCAGAAATAGTTTTTGTAATCTCTAGAAAGACACAGCATGTGTCAGGGAAAAGAGCACGCTGGCAGATGGGGTGAGTGCAGCTACAGTCATACCAAGGAAACACTGTTGTGAAGCTTTCATGCCGTGGCAGACAAGTGGGTCACAATGTTGGTATGTCACCCTGACTAGGAGCTTCTGCTGGGATCAAGAGTGTGTTGATCATATGAATGAAGGCATTTCTGAGAAGGGCACCAGTAGAAGATGGTAGGATTGATCTGTGTACATGGAGAATTTTGCCCTTGGAGACAGAGGGCTCGAGCCAGTCTCCTCTGGGTGAACTTCTTGCATGTACAGCCTGGAAGGCAGCAGTGAAGAGACACGGTCTTGGAGGCTCATCCTCTTGGCTGCAGCAGAATTGTCCTGCACAAGTCAGGTGGGGTGTTTTCCGTAGTGGTCACTGTGCTTATAGAGTGTGTCACAGTCATCTGATGTACATGGCACAAGTGAGGGGTGGTGTTACAGTGCTTTGGTTTGTGACTGTGTCTGTGGTCAGTCTTTCCTGCCCTTTCCTTGGTGGAGATACCTTTTTGGTGTTCCAGGTCAGGTTTGCAGCCTGGGGAGGAGTGCACTTTGCATGTGTACTGGGGCTGGACTGCAGCTGCTGTGGTGAGAGAGGCCAAATGAGTGCACTGAGAACTTGGAAGAACCAAGCAATGACTTCTGGGCTTTCTTTTAGGCCTGCCTCAAAAGAAGTTCTTGAACTGCTATTATGTGAGCAGAAAACTGGTTTGACTTGTGCTGCTCTTCTCATCAAACTCAGTGAGGAATGAGAGTTGCGTATGTCTTTCAGCTCCCTCTGAGTGTGGCAGCTGCTGGGCTTGCTCTTTGCTCAGTGTGGTGTTAGAGTAACTATATCAAGACCCACATCTTCTGTGTGGGGGAAGAGGACCTGACCAAAGCCTTGGGAAGCAGACTTGGGAGCCTGATCCTGGATCTGCTGCAAGTCTGTTTTGTGGTGCTCAGAGTCAGCTGGGAGCACACTGGTTCCTTTCTGTAAAATGAGAAAATGTCTTCTAGTTCCTGCAGAGACAGTGTAGGCTGGAAGGGTGATATTTGCCTGCATGCTGCTTTACACAAG